GAGGCAGAGAGAAGACTGGGCATGGACGCTTAGTGTGTTAAAGGGCAAAGCCAGTAGAAAGTGGATTGCTAAGGCCCGCACCGCTCCGTCATCCAGGGCTTTTCATACCTTACGCTGACCCACCTGACTTCTCTGATCCTCAGTTTCCACATATGGATGCTAAGACAATACATTCCTCCAAGGCAGATTTGGAAAATTAACTTGAGAAATGTAAGCGTAAGACTGGGTATAGAACCCTAGCTGACTCTTTTCTCTTTCTTGCTGTAATTCACCTGACTACCTTTGGAGGTTTTTGTATGGTTTTGTGAGAGATATTTTCCACTCACTTTAATTTTTCCCCAACTTAAGGAGTGACATTTAAAGATATCCTCTCCTTTGTATTTTAGTTGCATGGTGTGTTACTGTATTAAATCTAAACTTAAGAATAATTTTGCCAGTGGGCATCTACATATCTTGGAAGTGATTATTTCTCAGTTCTCCACTTTCTTTCAAGAAAATATCGCATTCACTGATAATGCAAGACCCAAATAGCTTTCTCCTCTTTTTCTATCATACTGAGACTTTTAAATCCGTTCTTTTGCAAGGGTTATTTGGGAGACCACCTTGAAATGCTTTCTATGGTTTTAAGCTAGAACGGGATCATACTGGGGGGAAAAATCGCCTTTCCTGATAGCCTGGCTTCCTCCCCTCAACTGCTGGCCACCCCAGAGACAACTTCTGTCTAGTGCTCTGACATGCTGATATTGAGTGAGTAAGTCGGCCTGGGAGTGGCAGCACCGGGCCAGAACTCTCAGTGATGAATGTCAGCACAGCGGCCGCAGTCTTTCTGCCAGACAGGAGGCTAACAGGCAAACGGCAGGGAGTTCACAAGCTTGGAGGGGCTTGTTAGACAGAGTTCAAAATTCTGGTGAACATCTCTCTGCCACTCCACAGAACAGCTGCAGCCTCAACAGTGGGAGTCTTCGCACTGATTTTTCAAAAAGCTCCCCCTCAAGAATGTAGTGTTGTAGTACACTGTTAAATGTCCTAAATTATAGTATATTGTTATCCATCACACTCTTCCCTCACCATTTGTTGCAAAGTTGCTAATTTGGCTAGAGATGATTTCACTTATCAGAATGAACTTTCTCTCATTTTCTTCTTTCTGAGAATTTGTCAGCTTTCTGCTTGCAGAACTTCTGTGTGAAACTCAAACACAGTCCTTGCTTTAGCCCAACTTAGGTATTAGTCACTTTAAATTATTTCATACTGAGAAGTAAGTGATGTCTTGAGAAAACAGATTCTAAAAATGTAGTTTATATGCAAGCGATCTATTTATAAAAATATTTCATCCATTGAATATTAAGATTTTCTTATTCAACTGTTAAATTTTGAGAATCTCACAGTGTCTGTTGCAGGCACTGGTGCTAAAACAGTGAACAAGACAAATTCCTTGCCTTTCTATAGCTTGCATTCTACTAGAGACAAACCTTAAGTCTGCAAATAAACAAGACAAATAATTTCAGGTAGTCATAGATGCTATAAATTAAAATAAAAGCAAAATATATGCTATGGTGTGAATGTGTCTCCCAAAATTCATGTGTTGGAAACTTGATCCCCAATGAGACAGTGTTAGGAGGTGGGGCCTGTTGGGAGGTGTTTGGGTCATGGGGGCTCTGCCCTAATGAATAGATTAATGTCATCATAGAAAGAGCTTGAGAGAGTGGGTTTGTACTCTTGCCCTTCTGCTACTCACCATGCGACGACATTGCAAGGATGTCTTTGCCAGATGCTGGCACCTTAATCGTGGACTTTCCAGGCTCCATAATGGTAAGAAAATAAATGTCCATTTATTATAAATTACCTAGTCCCAGGTATTCTGTTATAGCAGCATAAACCAGACTGAGGCAATAAGGAAACCCTGTTGGGGAAGTGGAGAGGGCAGTGTTTCTGATAGGGTAGTCAGGGAGAGGGGCCAAGGGTTCAACACTGGGACTGAGCTCTGAAGGCAAGGATATGCCAGTGGCACCTCCAAGTTTGGGATGTTTGAAAGATTAACATGAGGAATGTACATATAAGAACGGGCGCAGGCCGCACCTGGTGGCTCACGGCTGTAATCCCAGCACTTTGGGAGGCCGAGGCGCATGGATCACTTGAGGTCAGGAGTTTAAGACCAGCCTGGCCAACATAGTGAAATCCTTTCTCTACCAAAAATACAAAAAATTAGCCAGGTGTTGTGGTGCACACCTGTAATCTCAGGTACTCAGGAGGCTGAGGTGTGAGAGTTGCTTGAACCCAGGGAACGGAGGTTGCAGTGAGCTGAAATCATGCCACTGCACTCCAACCTGGGCAACAGAGAGAGTTCTGTAAAAAAAAAAAAAACCAAACAAAAAAAAGTGGGTGCAGAGCTGACACCAAAGAAACATTTGTTGATTTTTTTTTTCTCATAATGTTCATGCTAGTTATGTAAGAGTGAAGAGGATTCTAGGCACAAAGACAGCAGATATAAGCTTTTAAGCAGTGGTACAATTTGGGTTCTCCAGGAACCAGTCGCTGAGAAAGAAATTAGTGTGCAAAAATTGCATTAGTGAGTACTATTAAGAAGCCTGTAGAAGAGAGGAGAGGGATGCAGGTGTGAGCAGAGGGAGAAGTCAGGCCATGATGAAGCCTCAATGGGAAATTCAGCTGCCCTCCCTGAAGGGAGATCTAAAGGTGCAATGAACCTTCAGAGCTGTTGTGCATTAGGGGACGAGGGCTAGGCCTTTATTTCCTCCTGTAGGTCAGTCATTTGATGCAGGTAACCCAATAAAGAAAATGTGACCCTTTTGGACAAGGCAGCTCTCTTCAGCCTAGGGAATTCACTAAGAGCCGAGCACAGGGAAATAATTCTCCATGGACCTCTCACCTTTCTGGATGAGCAGAGTACAACACAGAGTCTACTCAGAGGTTTAAGCAATTAAATATCATTTTGGGAACTTCGAGATTACTTTTGATCAGACATTCAAATTTGACTTATGCTAACTAAGATTTTGTTTCCTTCCTTGGTTATAATAATGGGAAGATTTTGAGGTGCCAAATGTGAACCATGTATAAATGCAGTATTAATTCAACCAAACAAATATTTTTTGAAATGTTTGTATGTGTTTTTCTCAAAGAGCTTAAAAACCACTAGAAGAAGCAGATACAGAGCCAACTCGCTATGATCTATAATACAAGATCAAGTGAAGGCAAGATGAAGTAGTAAATAACAACAAAATATTTCAAAATTCAAAGTGTAGAATATATCTTTAAATGAAAGATAGTGTAATTAAATAGAGAAAATGTTAAAATGTGGAAGACATCCTTTAAGTAGAATCTTGATGCATTGGAATGGGGGAAATCTTTTAAGCTGAGTCCAACAGGTGAGCCAGCCTGAAGGCGTAGAATGATTGATGGTCAGTAGGCTGGATGGCTGGAGAGAAAGGCTGTGGAGGGATATATTGAGAGGCAGGATGGAAAAGATAATTAATACTTGGAATGTTGCAGGTGTTGAATCCCCTACTAAAAAATTCAGACTTGATTTTTTTAGAGTAGTGTCTCAAAATGTGGCTCATGGGATGCCTGCATTAAGACCATGTGGGATGCTTGTTAAAAATTCAGATTCCCATACTCCATCCTACACTTTCTGAATCAGAATTTCTGGGGCTAGTTCCCTAAAGTCTGTAGTTTTTACAAGCTTCCTACTACAACTAGAAAATCTCTGCTCTGTACAATGAGAAACTATGGAAAACTCAGTTCTCTGCCTCTCTCTCTATAGCATTTGCATGGGATTCCAGGAATTAGGGCCCCAAAGTGTTTCATTTGAAACAATAAGTTAGCAATTTAATATGCTCATCTTCCATTTGCCCATTTCCACTGATGTATAACATTCCAATACTTTTCTCTCCTTTCCAAAAAATTACTTACTTTTATGAGACGCTCAGAAATTGTTGTCAGTCCTGTAGTTACTATTCTCTAGTCTTAGTGGAGCACTTTCCAGTCTTCCAATCATAAGAATTATTTTACAGTAGAATAAAAGAGGCATCCTCGGGGCCGTTGGAGACTGTTTTCTGAGTTGCAGTCATAGCAGGGAGTTGATTTTTTTGTTTATGATCTGTAAATTTCCTCCCAAATGTCTGATAGGTTTCAGCTCCCTTAGCATCCAGTCTAATCTTGTATTTTTCACTTACAAGTCTGCCCAACATTTTAAAATTTTTTCCAAGGAACTGTTTTTCCTTGTTTCCCTCATAAGTACTTGTTTTTCACCTGCTTCATTTCATAAATCTCTTGTTAATATTTTCTTTTATCTTGGTCTTCTTTTCTTTAGGATAAGAAGGACTGTGCATGCTAACAGAGAAGTGATGCATTTTATAAAGCATATCAGATTCCTCACCATCCTCATTTATTAACAGTAGAATTACCATAGTAGTAAAGCGTATAGTATAAATAACAGTGCCTCTCTTTCCTCCATTTTCCTCTCCCAAGTCATATCTATTTTTACATCTATTCTCATATTTTGTTTCCTCAGATTTCCTCTATGGGAGGAGAATAAGTTAATACTCTTCTTTAGCAAAAACATCAAACATGGATACTAATGTGATTAAAGAATTTTCCCCAAAGCCATGCAATAAGGGATTGGGTGAAAAAAAGAAGTCACACTTTCTCTGGCTGTTAAGGTGTGGGGAGATCAAAATTAACAAGTGATTCTTTACAGCCTGTCTGTGATCTGCTCAAGGAAGTTCCACCTGTGGCACCTCCAAGATGCAAAATCAAGAAAAGGGAGGCCAGAAGTGGGAATAAAAGATTCTAAATATGGATAAAAACTGTGAGAGGAATTTTATCAGAATTTGTTTTGGAAATTTACAGTAGAGAAGAAACTGATCTTCTATAACTGTGTTGGATATGGATGGAGAGAAACATTAGTATTTTAAAAGTATGGTTATGGGCTAGCTTTCCCCTTTGTAGTGTGTCAAATACCATTAAAACACTTTGAAAAAAAGTGGTTAATGGAGCTGAATGTATTTGATAGTAATTCTGCTCTGAGGCTGGATCACATGGATTTCTGAATTCATAGTTGTTCCAAGCGAAGTCAACAAGCCAGTTGTAAGTGAACAGTCTTCACTTGTTACGAAGTGAAGGGAATGTCCGCATTAATGTCCCTAGAAGAGGGAGAGAATTGGTTCATCACTGATACATGAGGAATGAGTTTTCCCAAAAAAAACTGCCGTAGTGTAGGCCCAGACTACAATGCAAGAACTGAAGCCACCTGGGCAAGCCAGTTGTACTGGAGGCAGTGAGGATGAGACCCAATGGCTAGAGGTAGGGGTGCAGTCATCAACAGTACTAACAGTAGCAGTATGGACTGTCTGCCTGAAATATGAGACGTCTCCTAGATATAGAAGAATAAGGGAGTGCTGTGGCAAGCTGGTGAGAAGTGACCGGGTCAGGATTCTAGCTGTTATATTGTTGGAAAGTTAACCGTAGAGTCGTTGGTTCTGTTGCCACAGTGGATACTCATTACAAGCCCTCAGTTGTAGTTTCCCAGGTGTTATCTATGATATAACATGATGGCTATCATATAATTTATGATATACGTGATATAACAATCTATACTGCCAAATAAAACAAACTTCTGTGTTTTTCTGGCACCTTTCTGGCAGCATTATTTCTCTGTCCCCTTTGATAGTCGAATTTCTAGGAAGTAGTCTCTATGGTGTTGACTTGGCTTCTTCAACTTCCTTGATTCATCTCTTCCCCTCATCTATACCCAAACTCCCCAGCAAGTGCTGGCGTTTTTGTCACCAGGCACCATGTGAAATATGTTCACCTCTTTTTGTCTGTACCACAGTTTTCTCTGACATGGTCTACTGCAGAGATTCAGATTGCTTTTTTGGTAAACAATTTATGTGCCCACATAGGGCGATTACAGGGAGAAAACTAGTAGTGGCTGGAGAATGTAAGTGCCAGTTCCCTTGACGGTTGTGTATGTCATTGGAAAATCATGAAAATGTAATTCTAGCTTTATATGTCAGTCTTACAAGCTTCATTAATATGGACCTGTCTTTGAGAGGTTTACCCATTCGTAGTATACTGAAGAGGAATAAAAAGACTTCTAAGTCTGAAGGATTGAGGAGGTGACCTAGGCATATGGTGATGTCACTGAGACACTATCAATGGGATAATTTGTGGGCAACTACTCAGTCTTACTCAGGGCAATGCTGTCTATTTGTTTTCTGTTTTAAGTTTTACAGTTACCACTGTCTCTTCATCCTTTATTTTACTTATTTGACCAGGTAATTTTGCATCACTTAATTGCTTCCCTGCATTTACTTCAAAGAACTTCTGAAAATCACTTCCTTCTTTACAAAGATAATTGGTTGAATTTCAATAATAGTAAGATGTTATTACACAGGATCTGTGTTATATTTAATAGTTTTGAATTTGCCCATATCTGATTTAGTGATGCTGATAATTGACTGAGTTCCAGTGAAAACCATATCTTTATCTGAACTTAATATTCCTTAATATTGTGAAGGAACCAATCATTTGTAATGGCTATTACTCCTATCAAGTCTCTACAGATTTTCAAATCGATATGGAGATGTTCATCAACCATCAACACAATCTCATTATCCTTATATTACTTTATAGTAGTTTTTCTGCCTTTATTTTTATTTTATTTGAATTTGCCTTCCTTAATCTGGTCACTTCATATGATTTACTAAGAATTTCTTAAAACCATTCTGATTTTATTTAGTCACTGCATTTTGAAAACATGTTGGTATTTGGTGTATCCAATGAAAAAATGCTGCTTTTCTTACATTACACAACTACATCTGTGGATTTCTTAGCATTCCTTTCAAATGTTTTTTTAATGTAGTATTGTACAGCAAAATAAAAATAAAAAAAAAACTTGATGACTTGCCCCAGTTTAGTTTTAACCATTTCACTTATTCTTGATGTACAACATAATGTATGTGACTGAACATTTTTTTTTTCTGTGTTGTTCTACAGTATTGGTTTATTTAGATGTTTGACAAAACTCCTAATTAAACTAAATTGAATTAACATAGTTTAAAATTAGTTTAACTCATTGAATTTATTGTGTATATGTATCTTATATGATATGGAGTAAAGCCATGGTATGGCTTTCTAATAGAGCCATTGCACTAAGGAAACATAGCTTAAGAGAGAATTCTGGGCATATGCAATCATTAACTTTTGAATTTCTTTCCCTCTTAGAATATTTTAAAAGAATTAATTATCTCAATAATGTCAACCATCTAAACTGACTGTAAGATTTATATTATCTAGCCTATTTACATATGGAAACCTTCTATATATAAATGCTATTCTTCTGCTATCACCTCTTATATTACTGAAGTAATACTATAATAGTACCTTTGATTTATGCAGCACAGTATCTCTAAGGAGTTAGAACTACTTTATATTATCTTATTAATTCTTTTACCATTGCTATGAAGTATGGAATGAAATGAGTGGCATTTATCGTCATCTTCATTTTATAGTTAAAGAAGCCAGATGAAAGAGGTGACTTAGCTTTCCTCAAATTAAAAATTTCACTGGTTGGAAGACAGAGGAAAGAACATTGAGCACCAAATTTCTGAATCTTTAACCAGCTTGTGAGTTACAGCTATGTGAAAGTCACTAGATGTTGTTCTAAGTGTGTAAATGTAATAAAAATAATATATTTTATATCATATAGGAAGTATGTGTGTATATATTTCATTTTATTCTATTCTAAACATCACAAAAGCGATCATGTCCAGGAAGCTTTTTATCACTGTTGTGAATAACCAGGATTTTATATAAATGTGTATGTGTGTGTGTGTGTGTGTGTGTGTGTGTATTTCCCTCACTTAACATCTTTAAGTTTTTGAAAACTCTGTCCCTCAATAAAAGGCCACTAAAATTTTTTTTTTAATTAAAAAAAATTCTGTAGAGATGAGGTCTCACTATCTTCACCAGGTTGGTCTCCAACTCCTGGCCTCAAGTGATTCTCCCCCCTCACCCTCCCAAAGTTCTGGGTTTACAGGCATAAGCCAGAGTCCTGCCCACCAGTACATTCTTTAAAAATTACTCATTTAATGAGGAAAATTATGGTGTATTCACCATACACCATAATTAGGCACAAAATACCCAATTTTTACAGATAGAAAACATGTCAATTGAACAATTAAAACAAATAATAACAAAATTTGAAAGTACATTCCTTCCATTCATACAACATAGTGATGGTTAATTATATTTTTTCTTTTTTCAGCAGTATCTTCAGCCACAATTATTTCAACTTTATGGGGCCCATAGTTATGTGCTTCAAAATAAAATCGTAGCACAGATAAATATTTTTAGGTGAAACTAAAAATAAGACTGTGTATGATAAAACTTTGAAACATTAAAACAGCACACACACAGTAACTAACCATAAAATAGACTAAGCAATATAATATGAGTTCATCCAAAGATAATACATTATTCAAATATATTTTCCTTTAACTGAAAATTGCTCTTTCTGGTAAATTGGTGAATGTGTCTTTGACCTCAAATGTCAAGTCATCAGTTTTTATAACATGTTTATTCTGTGTGTATGTGTGTAAAAAGTTATAGCATCCAAAATGGGTAATTTGAAAGGTCATTATATTGAAGTTATCACTTGAATGGTCATTTTGTGAGGTTACATCATATCTGGACCAGTGGCGACTGTTATTTTAATAAACTCAGAAATCAAATTCTTCTTAGTTGATTAAGGTGGAATTCTAGGAGAAGAAAAAAAGCTGTATTCTGTGGCATGAATCCTGGCTGTATTTTTTAGAAGAAGCAGGGAAGACTTAAAATGCAAAAGGTCCCATGTATAAGTAGAAAGCGATTCAGCTAGGATGGTCCTAGTTGGAAAGGCAAACCGTTGAACACAGTTTGATTATAAGTGTTCATTTATTCTGCTAAGTTATTAAAAGTCATCATTCTAAGCTAGAAATAATCAGCTTTGATTGACCCAATTTCCAAAGTTGAAAACTGATATTCTCAGTAAATAAATGTGTTCTCCAAATTTATGGAAGAGAATATGATCCACAAATCCAATCATTTTTCAATGTAAGAAAGGGCTTCTAGGCCAGGTGTGGTGACTCTTGCCTATAATCTCAGAACTTTGGGAGGCCGAGGCGGGCAGATCCCAAGGTCAGAAGATCAAGACCATCCTGGCTAACATGTTGAAACCTCGTCTTTACTAAAACTATAAAAAAATTAGCCGGGCGTGGTGTCACGCGCCTGTAATCTCAGCTACTCGGGAGGCTCAGTCAGGGGAATCACTTGAACCCAGGAGGCGAAGTTTGCAGTGAATCGAGATTGCACCACTGCACTACAGCCTGGCGACAGAGTGAGACCCTGTCTCAAAAAACAAACAAACGAAACTGAAAGGGCTTCTGGTTTTCCTTAGCAGGTAGGAATTAAATGTTCTGTATATATGTTAAGTCTGTTCCAGGGTATAGTTTAAATCCATTGTTTCTTTGTTGACTTCTGTCTTGATGAACTGTCTAGTGCTGTCAGTAGAGTATTGAAGTTCCCCACTATCATTGTGTTGCTATCTCATTTCTTAGGTGTATTAGTAATTGTTTTATAAATTTGGGAGCTCCAGTGTTAGGTACATTCATGTTTAGGATTGTGATATTTTCCTGTTGGACAAGACCTTTTACCATTATGTAATGTCCTCTTTGTCTCTTTTAATTGTTGTTGCTTTAATGTTTGGTTTGTCTGATATAAGAATAGTTACTCCTGCTCACTTTTGGTGTCCATTTGCATGAAATGCATTTTTTAAAGAACTAAAAGTAGAACTATCATTTGATCCAGCACTCCCACTACTGGGTATCTACCCAGAGGAAAAGAAATCGTTATACGAAAAAGATACTCGCATAAGCATGTTTATAGTAGCACAATTCACAATTGCAAAATCGTGGAACCAACCCAAATACCCATCAATTGAGTGGATAAAGAAACTGTGATATATAGGTATCATATATATATATATCATATATATGTATATAATATATATATCACATTAACAGCATTTGCAGCACCCTGGATAAGATTGGAGACTATTATTCTAAGTGAAGTAACTCAGGAATGGACAATCAAACATTCCATG